CGCCTGGCATACATCCACCTAGGCCCCGAGTCGGGACGCGCAAAAATGTGAACAAAGATACGGGCCTTCGGCCCATCAACTTCCCATCATTTCGACTAACAATGCAGGGTTGAACATTTTTTCGCTAATTCTCGCTAAAAACTCCCTCTGGCGCCTAAATGGTTTAAGATAGAGCCGAACGGACGAAATTTTTGCCCAAAGGACTCTATTTTAATGAGGTACCCCTTAGGAAACTTAAAAACATTATTTGTGGGACCTGTGGTTTTTGATTTTTTTTAAAACCAATTTTTGAGCTAGAATGCTCTTCTTCGAACTCGATTTTGTCTTTTGATGATACAAAACGACCCTGAAAATCCCAGGTCGCTAGCTTAATTCGTTCTCGAGTTATCGTGCGGACAGACAAACAGACAGACAGACGCGAAACTTTTTGACCATCACTGGAGTAATAGGCTTCGCTAATCGCTTCAGCCAAAAATTCAAGGAAACAGAAAATGATAAAAGAAAATTGGAAAAAGGAAGGTAGACTTACCCGGCGAGAGGTCCAACCGGCAGGGCGGCAGAGCCCGCGGGCAAGCTGCACCCAAATAAGACACGCAAAGTCACCATATTCGGCGTTTAATTCATCGGAATTCCCTTGAGGCTCGGGGAGATCGCTAGTGATCAAGGCACTCAAGGATAAACCACCGGGATCACGAGGGGCCATCTTGAAAACAGAGATTGAACGAAAGAAAGGAAGAGGTACCGGATTTAAAAACTAGGTAGATGAACGCCAGACCACGTCTCGCGTAACAGGCTTCGCGGTATCTCACGAAACACTGTTACGCTGCGACGCGCCTGGCATACATCTGCGGCGCTGACACCCGAGTCGAGGAAAAGTCGTAAGTAGGCATTCAGCCCCAAAAGTCACAAATTTTGTTTCTTGGGGTTTTATTTTAACGAGTTATCCTACCGGAGACCATCAAATATCTGAGAAAAAACATAGAAATGTTTTGCGGTCATTTTCGTGTAGAAAAATTCCTCTGGTGCCTAAACGGTTGAAGATAGAGCCAAATAGCCGAAATTTTCGTTCATAGGGCTATAATTTGATGAGTTACCCGTTAGGAATCAGTAAAAGAATATTTTTAAAAAACCGTCATTTTGGAGCCTGTGGTTTTTGAATTTTTAAAAATGCAATTTTCGAGCTTGAATGCTCTTCTTCGAACTCGATCTGTCTTTTTATGACACAAAATGACCCTGAAAATCCCAGGTCGCTAGCTCAATTCGTTCTCGAGTTATCGTGCGCACAGACAGACACACAGACAGACAGACAGACGCGAAACTTTTTAATCATCACTGGAGTAATAGGCTTCGCTATCGCTCAGCCAACAAGCTGTTTTCAACACAGATCCTCCCCGTTCTCTCTCATTTGCGCTAAAAAATAGTAAGAAAATCACCGTTTTCTTTGGGTTTTTTCACTGCCAGTTGGTCTTGTGACTTACAGATGATTGGCGGGGCGGGCAATCTTCTTGCCACACAGGCGTGTAGATTTCCGGTACATCACCAAGTACGTAAAATTCACCTTGTGCACGCCACTCTTTTGACGAGACACAAAGATATTCCAGAATCTACCAAAGGCCCGTTGTTCAATTTACTCACGGTCACACGCCCACAGGCTGTCTGTAAGCCCGAAAAAACCCTTCTAGCAGGCCAAGCTTGTTCTATTCGGTGCTAGAATAGTTAATATTCTGTACTATTCGGTGCTTGAATAGTTAATATTCTTAATTTGTGATGGACAAGGAACGCAGAGTGAAACACACTTGAATGGGGAATACTCTAAGAAAGTTTATTATCTGTACCCTGGATGTACAGGGTGCAGTAACAAATGACAATCGACTAATGAGGGCCCAGAGGTCAGTTGTACCTCATAGCCCACTTTCATCAGTAGTCCAATGTGACCAGGCGTACCACTATAGTCACAACAAAGCAGGCTAATAAGCCGGCCCGGACCCTTCCAAGGCATGTTAGAATCGTAAAATAACGATTATGACTAAAATTTTAGAATGTAGTGTTCAAACAGGCGGCCCCGTTCTGCCAGCACAGCGCACTTTTGGAATATACTGGTCTAACCTTGAAAACTAACAAAAATAACCTTTTTGCAGTTTGGGAGTTACTGTCACGTTTGCCACGTGTCATATCTCGAAAATATATCTCATCACGTAATGTCGCTTCCGACACGTAATCATTGTCGCCACCAGATCATTCCATACTGACACCTGCTCCTATGTATCCATCAGTAGGATGGGAGGGAAATTGAATTCTACCAGCCATTTACTGGGACGTTACAATTCAAAGACTGTGCCACGTGTCACATTTGGTTCGAAAACTGACACAAACGTTGTACACCTGATATATGACCTAAGCTACGCATCCCATACATCTTACTAGTTAGGCAAAGGGAGGCAGGTTTCAGTCGCGTTCTGACAAATGTGACTTGATATTCTAAGCAAAGTGATGTGACACCAGTTGGATGTGACGTCACGGTGTTTAAATACCGCTTTCTGAACTGCTAAATCACGGATGAGCCAACATAGGCACGTAAGTCCACATTTTACTCATTTCAGGTTTTCGCTAGCAGTAAATTCTACAAACTGAGACGCATCTTTCTGTGTAACCGGATTTAAAATATCTTAGTAAACGGCCGAGATGCAGAGCAGTACCAAACAGCGAAAGTCCACCCTTGAGCCAACAAAGAAACGAATGTCCTCATTGGCACTGTTAAAAATTTTGGGGGAGACTTTACAGAAAAAGTCTAGGTATACTTAGTGCCAAGTAAAAGTCTGGTAAAATTACCAGAGTCTGTAAA